GGGTGGCTGTGGAGTTTAGGGTCCTGTAACAGTTTACTTCGTAGAACAGATGAAATATCCACCTTTAACTTTTTACTTTTGTCAAGTTTCAACATTGCAAAAAACTAGTGCAAATTGTCGTACTATAAGTTTGAGTTTCTTTATCAGATTGACACTTTATAGTAAAACAATATTATATTTAAAAAAAAAATGTTTTTAAAAAAGTGGCAACAATATATGGAGTTCATCAAATTAGGTTTTCCCCTTCTTTAAATTCGGTTGTTTACATTTTTTTAAAATTGATTGTGACAATAACAAATTATGTTGCCATATGTTATTTATGGTATGAAGCAAACATGAAGAGCACTCGCATGACACAGTTAAGCAGGTACAAGGGATTCCTAGCTTTCAATCACTTCCTTCACATCCCCATCACATCATCATCTCGAGGACAGACTGTTCACCTGTAATTAATGTCTTGTTTTTTTATTTAGATTATTGTTATTTATTATCCGCGGTCTCGGTCTCGGTCTCGGACCATTTCGGTCTCGGTCTCGGTCCGCCCTGAAGGGGCTGGTCTCGGTCTCGTTCTCGGTCTCGGTCTCGCAACTTCAGGTCTCGGTCTTGGTCTCCGTCTCGGACTCGGGCTATCCGGTCTCGACTACAACAGTGGTTCGAAGTAGAGGTTACTGATGTGGCTACCGTGTATACAGACATGCATGCGCTGCTCAACCATGACCGATTCGCAAGGCTTTCTGCCGGCTTCTCCGTACAGGGCGAGTAAAAAAGAAAGTGACTGAATTTGTAAAAGAAAAATATATTTTTTGAATGCTTCATTTCATAATGACACAACATAGATCAAGTTTTTACTGTGAAATTTCACGTAATTTGCATACTTTATTCCCACGTTATGTCTATTTTAATAAAAAAGATCACAATACTCACTGGTTAATACCCATTGAGTAGATTAAAACATTACGTTTTCCCACCTCCATAAATGAACCAGAACTTTCCAAGAAAAACAAACATTATATCCCTACCAATATTTCTGAAAATAAAAAGTGTTGACTTGTTGACACAGAATATGACAGTAAAATAATGGTCTTGATTTCAATCATTAAAATCGCATTTGAATTTCAAATTTCAAATTCCAAAAAAATATTCAATCACACGCTGCATGTTCGTCAAGCTTTCTAATACAGCTTCTCCATAAATGATAACTGCCAAACGCTTTGCATCAAAGCAACAATGCCTTTCCATTGAAAACAACTCAAATGACATAATTAACCATTAGCTTCATGTGTAGAAAGTATGTGATACCCTTTTTTTTTCAAGAAAAAAATGTATAACTGTAAGTCAACATGTTTATTCCATACTTTTTAATATCCTTCATTTTATCACCATGCAAACGGAACCATACTTTACAGCATTACCAACTAAAAAGATCGACAAGATTATATTTTTATCACATCTGTCTGTGAGTTTCGCAAAAGGATCGTTTTCCCTGTTGTAAGTCTCTCTTTTTTGAAAAGTCGAATAAATTGGCTAATGGGACATGATGCAAACCGCCATGCGAGAAGTCGGTTGGAAGTAGAGGTTACTGATGTGGCTACCGTGTATACAAACATGCATGCGCTGCTCAACCGTGACCGATTCGCAAGGCTTTCTGAATAAATGAACGAGAACTTGCAAAGAAAAACATTTATTATATTGCTACCAATATTGCTACCAATATTTCTGGGGAAAAAAATGACTTGTTCCTCATATTCAAACCACAAAATATGGCAGTTAAAATAATGGTCTTGATTTCAATTAACAAAATCTCATTTGAATGCTTGTGTGTAATCTGTAATTCTCACTACGCCCAATAGCTTCCAATGGCACTTCAATGGACAGCTATACTAATGCTTTCTTTTAGTAAAACATGCATAACTTCTGTTGGCATAGATCAATTTCAGTATTACTTTTTCAGATGAGTGGAGCATGCTCTTTTAAGACATACTTCATGTATCAAATATGTGTATCAAATTTCTTGCATTTTGGATCACCCTGTAGATGATAATTGCCGTATACGCACAATCTTTTTATTCAAAGCAACTCTATAATAATATCATTAGTCACTCTTCTTTGTACCGCTTCAGCGTAAAAATGGAAATCACGAGCTGCTTAGGTTGAGGATATTTTATGAACATCAACAAAAGAGACACAACCATTAATTGCCTCTGCGCGCGGCATTTCGATCAATGTTAACTTAAAACTTAGTGTCAGAATAAGTTTCTGGCAATGTTATTCAATAATACAGGTGCATCAAGTCAATTTGTAAATGTTCACCTAAATTTACACCTTTCGACATTTAACACAAACCTATAAACATTCACTTACACACGTATAAAGGCAAATCATTAGATACGATCCACATTTCTTTGGTTTTTTTTTACTCTCCTAAATCACAGATGGCCCCGAGTTGATGCCCCATGAGTTTGTAAGCTGGTTAATGAAAATCATGTTATTTTTGGTCCATTATTACATAAAAGAAGGTTTCCTTCCCGATGATGGAAACAGAAAAAAAATACATAAAACACCTTAAAATATTGTAATGTGTTCACTCGGTACACTTAAGCCGCTGAACTTACACAGGGATCGCTATGGGCTTGGCTGTTGGTAATTTTAACCGTAAATCACGTGAAGTGAGCGCATTATTTCAGATTCAAGCCAAAGCTTTGAAATATCCGTGGGAGAAAGGGCAACCATTGAACACTGAATGAGGCTTAAAATTCAAATAAACGTAGGCTCAATAAATAAATTCACGCCACTTGTTACAATTGCCAATTTGGTTTCGACGTTAAGCCGTTGGTAATTACAGAAATGTCATTATGCCTGAAAATATTATATGAGCAACAATTTTTTGCATAACTGTGGGAATTTACACAAAGAAACAAAACAATTATCCGTTTGTCTGTGGCCGCGTCTTCAGTCTCACAAAATGTTATGTACTTGTTGTCGGCACCGAATGAAATTATTCTCATCCATAATGATAACTGCGTAGACAATTTCATATTACCAGGCTTGCATAGATAAAGCAATGGAATCCGACAACCGAATCGACTGTTGTGTTTTTGAAAATATAATGCAACTTTTTAAGAATATATGGTGACACTTAATGTTGACCTTTTTTTTGGGGGGGGGGGGTATTGGGGGCGCTGTTTCCATTAAACGAACCCTCAAGTCCACACGGTCTTCCGTTTCAAAGATAGCAAAAACGTGCTTGCTTGGTTCAGTTTCTTTGACAAAAGGGTGCATATTGAGATACACCCTGTTTTGTGCTAGATGTGACGTGGGCCCAATTTCACGACTAATTTTACGGCTTAACAATTGCCAATAAAGTTGTGCTTAGCATAGCAGAAAAAAATGCTAACCTTGAACACGTTTTCACGCCTTGGACGTGCTAACGGTGGTACGTGCATGGAGATTTCTATTGTTACGTCACTAAGTTAAGCAATTTTTCCTCTGAGGTAAGCGTGCCTGTTGCTGTGCTTACTGCTAACGGTCTCCATGAAATAGACGGAGGCTCTGTCAGCAGGAAATCGTGTGCTTAGCAGCGCCGTGAAATTGGGCGCAGATATGACAAGGCAAGAGGGCGTATAAAAGATACACCTTTTTGCCTCGTTATTAGGCAGTGTGTTATACGCATCGTAGAAATGCAGTAATAGTACATTGGATATGCTTTCTCAAAGAACACCCTTTTATCAAAATAATCCTTTTAATTATGTTCGTAGTACTTCATGGTAAAAATTGTTCAACTGTTTTCCATTGCCTCTATAAAACACAGCAAAGACAAGAAGCTGAAATGTCCACTGTATATTCACAACATTATTCACAATGTGTGGTAGAAAAATAGGTTTAATTAATGGTAAAATAGAAACGTGGAAGACCCTGAACTTTAATTAACTAGATTTTCCTCGAAATGCGTTTTTTCAAGATACACCATTTTACCATGCTCTTCAACAGAAGAATGAAGTAGATGAATGTAATTTTGGCGTCTGAAACCCTCTTTTAATTTGGAATTGACTGGTTGCGCTCTGTATATAAGTCAGGTGACCTATAGTGGGTATCAAACATCAACAAGCACTGCGTTCTGTTGTACAGTACATGATGATTGTTGCATTTGTTTGTTCGATCGCGGTTTTTCGTTCTTGAAACCTCTGAAGAATACCCCTGAGTTTGTATCTGCAGCCTTACTGGAATGGCTGAATAAAGCTTAGAAATTCTATAAGTACCGCTGACATTGACGGCCGCGAATGAAAATGTGGTATCATTTGAAAGAAAATCACAATCACACGACAAAATCAACAACGTATACATTATTATCATAATGGCTTGCGTTTCGGAGATATGCCAATTTAAATGGCGAAATACAATGAAAACATTCTGTCAATTATAGTGTAAAAATAGGGCATAGTATTAACACCTCTAAAATTTTCAGACCTGTCTAAAATGTTTAATATCATATGAATCGTGATAAACAAACACTATTTTCATTTTGGAATTAGCTTTTTATCTTTCATTGAAAAAAGGTTATGATTTTTTTTTCGGAACACCGCACGATTGTACGAACCAAGGCCACTTCGCTATACGACCACACAACTCCGTCGCCGTAGAGACACGGGCAAACTACAGTTCATTTCACGCTTCACGCAACGCGGCAACACGGAACAACCAATGGTCTAACCATAGCTCAAAAAAACCTATTTTATAGTACTGGTGATCAATGCCACAATAAAAGGGTTCGTAAGTGTGTTATATGTGTTATTTATCAAAAATAAAGCCGATTGTCGGTACAATAAGCATATCAGTAGTCTTTGCACGTCCCACTGCATGAGCTGAGATGACGTAATACCCACTATAAGTCACGTGATGACATGTAAACATTGGTCGCGCAATCGGTCAATTATTTTCTGCCTTCAACATCATTTCGTGTTTAACTCTTGTGTTTTTTCTTTTTCTTTTTTTTTTCTCTTCAGATGTTTAAAATAAGAAAGGGCCATCAAGTCATGGGATCGGGCTGGATATCATCTGCATTGCTGACAGCACTGATTGCTATCGGTACGTCGTTATTAACCAATATTCTATTTACATGGGTCTGTGGTATTTATTTGATTAATGAGTGGAGTGGTGTTGCTCCGTGGTCCGGAGCATCAAACTCAAGTTATGTGGGAAATTGTTCAGGTTGTGGGTTCGAGTCCAGCCTGGGCTTGCGATGCGTGTGTCCCGTGGGCAAGACACTTTTCCTGACACAGGAATAGGTAACTGCGAAGGCTTTGCGCCTAACTGGCAGCATCCATGGGCGTCGCAAGGGGGGGGGGGGGGTAAGGGGGGGGGGGCACTTAAGCCAAAAAAAAAGGAAGGAAAAAAAAGAAAAAGAAAAGAAAAGAAAAAGAGGCGCGAAGACAAAGTGGTGTAAATTTAATGAGTTGGGGGGGGGATGTCCCTGCCTCCCTCTAAAACTGATAAATCGAGATTGTGTTGAGAAATACCAGCATTTTTTGGCAAACAACAAATTTGCCCCCCTCTAGAAAAAATCCTGGCAATGCCCATGGCAGCATCGAGGTGTATACACCCAAAGGGCTGGAGCTGAGATAGTTGTTTTATGATCCCAACGAGAAGGGGTAATATTGCTGTTCAGTGCTTTAAAAGGCCATCTGGTTGAGCTACAAAACAAAAAAGAGCAGTACTTTTTCACGACTTCGTGAAGTGTGAATCTAAGGCCTGAAAGGTTTGTAAAGATCCCATCATATTTTAAGGTATTTGCTTGATTCATCATTTGGCACAGGCTGGAGTTTTCGGAAAAGCATTTTTTTTTCATCTTGCAATTTCTGTGGAAAGGTATATGATTATGTTAAAATCAAAGTTGTTTCCAGACTGTGCATCATAAAACATTCAATTATAATGTGTTTGCATGTGTTTCATGCCAATCTGGGATATGTCCATGTTATCATTATATTTTGACTACTGGGCAATCCAGTAACATCCAACGTACGTCTTATACTACCACATGGTGTACATGTACGATGTCGTTAAGGTGGTGGTTCCTCAGTTTGGTCTGTATTCTTTTCTGCTCATTAGATGTCACATCACCTTCACTTTTCCAGCAGCAGGTCATTCAAGTGTCTGACATGTACGTCTGGATTTACGGAATGGTCCTGCTATGAAAAGTGGTCCAACTTTTATCTTGTATGGATTCCAACATTTGACTTTTATCTTCCCTAACAAATGTGCAGTACATGTAACCATTGAGTCAGTATTTCATAGGGTCCAAATTCTATACTACATTCACTCTAAAAAAGCATTAGTCAGATTTGACTAGAAACCAGTCAAATTTGACTAGCCATTCAGGTTCAGCTGGGTGCAACTGAAAATCAGTCAATCTGACTAGATTTTTCCAGTCAGCATTTTTGATTTTGGAAAAATAGTTGTGCAAATAACTGAAATTTGAGTCGAACCCAACTACATTTTGTAGTCACAGTATGTAATTTTGCATGTTTAACCAAATTCCTAGTCAATATTCAATAACTAGAAAAACCAGTCAATATTTTGACTAAGTTGTTTTTAGAGTGTTGGCCAATTCTTGTGATGAATTTGCATTCGTATACGTGCAATTGCCAGTAGGTTTCTTGTCTTTGACTAGTTTTTAATTTAATCTTTCTGCGATATAAATAAAACAAACTCGGCATGGCAAGAACTTGGATGCGCCTTGCTTCATAGTCCCCTCACACTTCTTGCCCTGTATGCAGATTCACACTATTTTCACTCGTTTGGTTGTTTCTTTATTTTTCTCACTGGATAATGCAGTCGTCAGTTCGGTCTCAGCCCGAATCTGTACTCTGATGATTGACCTAGACTTACGCGGTTGCGGCCAGCGCATGGGGAGATTTGTCCTGCCACAAGGCGATCCTTGCACCTGTACAGGGGTCAGACTGGGCGGTCATTACCACCGCTACGCGCCTGAGATGCAGGGACAGGATCCACCGTTGTATATGGACATGCTGCCGGAGGTGACTGCTGAGGTTATCGGCCGTTGGTTCAACTGCACTGAGAGCAAACTGGAGGAGTCAACGCTCGGAGTCATGACACCAGTTTTCAGTACCACCCCTGAGCCGTCGATGCCGCCTGCAGATTGTCAAGAGATCTTGGAAGCTGGTCAGAACACAAGCGGAGTATATACCATCCGGCACAAACGCCAGAATATGCAGGTCTACTGCCGCATGGAGTCGGGGAAAGGATACATAGTGAGAAAAGTTACTTATTTTCTCAGAATCATTCTGTATTTTACAATTATAACATGGCTGAAAGATATTTTGGCAATTTAGCTCCGAAATGTATTTGACATTGAGAAAAAAAGAATACTTCAGGCAATTGTGTTTACAACTTGTTGCACTGAGTACTGTTGTTGGTGCTAAGGAAATGCAATCTAAAAGAACGTCCGTGCATACGCGTACAGTGGATAACTGAACCAGTGACGATAATTAACAAACATGCGCTTAGGCTAACGGGAAGTTGGAAGTTGCACCATATACAAACTAAATATGTTTCATTATGTTCCTGTAATCATCAATTTGTTTATTGTCATTAATAAAAAAAAAATGCGATGAAAGCTACTAAACTTCCAGCCTCATATTCTACCCCAAATAAAATGAAAGGTTTAGCTACGCACAGACTGGTTAATGGTTAATGTTAATGTCTGAAATGTCCAGTGTTGTTGATGGGTGTGCCTGTGTTTTTTAAGTTTGTTTGCCAACTCTAAAAAAAAAAATGACTTCAACTTGTGTTCTGAAACGCAGGTCCACCAATAAAGAAAAGGTTTTGGATTTTGCTTAGCACAGCGTTGATTCGCTAATGTTTAACCCGAACAAGGCCGGGTAAAGCGGTGATGGTAAACGTGGCCCGATTTTACCGTCACTCATATCGTTTCTGGCAGGTATTTCAGAGACGCATGGACGGCTCGGTGAGCTTCAACCGAACCTGGCAGGAGTACGCCGAGGGATTCGGGGATCTGACCGGAGAGTTCTGGCTGGGCAACCAGAAGGTGCATATTCTGACTTATAACGGGGGACGGGAGCTGGTCATCACTCTGAGGGCGTTTGATGGGGATGAAGCCCGTATTCGTTATGGGTACTTCAAGATAATCCCATCTGAGTACAATTACCTGCTTCGTATCGGAGACTTCATTGAGGAGAGTGGAGATGCAGGTACTTAATACCCCGAACTTTCAGTATCCTTCCCTTTAGGACCTCTCCCATGAGTCTTGCACTGTTTTCTACGATATCATTTTTGGTTTAACTGCGTTGTTCTCATCTAATTATCCTAAAATTAATAAACCGATACAACCTGACTTCTGATTGTTTGAATCTGCAGGTAATAGTCTGGATCTACACCTATTCCAAAAGAACGCCCTATTCCGCCGCTTGCCTATTAATCCAACCCACGAATTAACATCCATGCGGATCTATGGAATAATGTCCAAAATCACAAGCGTAACAAACATTTATCCACGGAGGTTTTAATGGAGAAAACTCGTAAAGAAGGTTAAATGCAGCGTTGAAACTGAAAATAGTTTGTTCGATATCCATGTAACATTATTAGTTATTAGTTAAATTATTAGTAATTACATCATGAACAGATCAAAGTGACGATGTCTAAAACAGAAAAGTAAAGACCATGCATACAAAGCAAAAACAAAAAAGAAATCGATTCAGATGTCATACATTATTTTTGTTAAAGTGGTCCCTTCGTAAAAAAGTCCATGCATCATGCGTCATATTATATTACTGTAGTTATATACAAGGTTTGACCATCCTTCCTCTCTTATGCTAACAGGTAATTCACTCGGGATTCATCGTTACGAAGACTTCTCAACTCCAGATAAAGACCATGACAAAACGAACTGGGAAAACTGTGCTGAGAAATTCCACGGAGGCTGGTGGTACAGCCGCTGCGGAAGCTACACCAGCAGGGACTTCAAGAGCAACCTGAACGGCTTGTACTACAACAACGCAGCAGTCGATGATTACATGGGGATGCAGTGGGTCACCTGGAAGGGTAAAAATATCTCTCTAAAAGGGTGTGAAATGATGATACGACGCAGACCGTAACCGGTGATGGAAAGGACCCATATTGAAAGACAGCAATAAAACTAGGGGGGGTAGAGGGGGCGCCAGATCTCAGTTTAAATTATTTTGGCAAAAAAAAGAAAGAAAGACGCCATAGTCTAAAAACGTACTGGGGTTTTTCGTTTAGGAAAATAGTTGATAGGAATGGGCAAGGAGGCGGTATAAAAAAAACACACACGATGGCGACATATAAGAAATATTACCAGTGACGGCAAAAAGGATGCTCATCGTTTTACTTGGGTTTTTAAATGAAATAAAATTAACAATGCACTGTTCATGATATTTTTCAGTTTCATCCCTCCCCCCCCCAAAAAAAAAATCTTCTTTAACTACCTTTTTTTCTCGAGATACAACAGATCTACTTGAAATGAGATAGCGATAAAAATACAAATCGTCCAATGGACATTTAAATTTCAATGTTTTTTTGAAAATGTTTTAACCCATCCACCCACCCCAATTTTCGATTGTAAAATTTGATTCTCCATTCAATAAAAAACATAACAAATGTCAAGTTCAGTGACGGCGGAAATTCAGCTGCGGTCCCACTGGCATTCCCGTACTTTGGAAATCCGCCTGGGAAATACGTTGAACTTGTCCATTCTAAACGGTAATAAAAGTATCAACTGGCTCTAAAAAAAATTGCCTATATATTGTCTTGGCGTAAAGAGGTGTAATGACTCCCATTATTCATGAAGTTTATTCAGAAATTCAGGCGTTTTGGATAGAGAAATAATAAACTCTTTACTCGCGCTTTCCAGACGCGTCGGCGCTGATATGTTCATTGCACGCAGATGTCAATCCTGTGCACGCACATTGCCTATGTAGTCTTGAACACAAGTAGGTTTTTTTCATTGTCGCAATCGGTAACCGACGCTGGTGGCGTGTATTAAGACAAATGAACCTGGTATCCCGCTCCATTTGCGCGGCGCACTGATTTTACGCATGCTTTTAAGCCTATATTTCACTGGTCCCCATGCATGTGGTGCTCCAATAGACGTATACAAAATGTACCGTATATTATACATGTGCGGTACTACCCGATGCATACTGTTCCGTACAGTACGGGCCAAAACGTTAAAAGAATTACGAATCGGAACGCAGGGAGTTGAATTGGCAAGTCAAAAGAGCTTACATTTTCTATTTTCTATCATTTTAGTTGAAAAAAAGGTAATTTCCATTTTCAATAATTTCAATAAATTAGTTTGACCCACCCATCCACATTTTGGAAGAAAAATTTCGGAATTTAAAAACATCGAAAATTTGGAATGGCCCCCGATGTCTTAAAAAAAAAATCAAACTATTTGCCGCCCGACAATACTTCCGTACTCCAAGGGTAGACTGGATCCCACCCCTCTTTTAGAAACGATAATGTAAGGCTGTTAATTTGGAACAGGTACCAATCTATTTGCAAGTAGAACTCTTTTGCCGTAAAATTCAAACATGCAAAAGGGACAACGAAATTCATTTGTTGGAAAGAAAGGAGAGTTAATTTCATCTGAATGGGAAACAAACATTCTCACATCCAGCTTTTTTAAATCTAGCCCAACTATGATCTAGAAATTAGTGAACGCAGGTTAAGTCAGGTAACAGCCGCGGTTAACCATTAACCACGGGTTAACCAATGAACTATTAGTTCCAAATTCTCTCTAACTAAACTATCAAATATCAATATTCTAGGGAGGACCTCGATCGTAACACGGTCACGGGGCGTATTGACATTGGCCGTTAGACCCTGGGATATCACGAGAAATGCAAGACCATCCTCTACAGTGCTGGGTCATTACCATTGGATATGTAAAGACTGGCAATCATATTACTTTCGTATTGTTTTTACAGGCATAGCGTCTGGAGTATTTTGTGTAACCAATTAATTAACAAAATGTTCATCAACACGCATTCAGATTCGTGCAGATTTTTTTCACTATTTTGTCAATACTGGGGTTTTGTTTTTGGATACATAGTGAGTTAAATTTGGTTTTTGGTTTTGCCATTCATGTTCGTTTTAGTCGTTCTACAGTGATATGGATTAGTGGAGTATATAGGTATTGCTATCTGTCTTTCACTATAAGTTGTTCTGAATGATATTCTTGTTCCATAATTATTGTCTTGAATTGAATAATTCATTTGCATCATTAATCTGTTATTTGTGCCTATGCCTGTCTCTTTAGTCATATAAAATCAAGGCAGCATTTTCTTTTCTTTTTTGCCCGTGGTTGTATGTAAGGGTGCGGCTCATTTTTCGTTATTGCTGTTCATGATTATTTTGACGATTTCAAATTAAGTGTTAAAAAAGTTTGCAGAAATAGGGTTATCGTTGTAACATAAAAACAAAATAATGTTGCTTTTGTAACCTTTATAGACGAATACAAATCAGAAAGCACATCCACAAAAACAAATTTGAATGCACACATGTAAACAATGTAGAAATCGAATTCTTTATCAACCACTTTCTAGGTCTTTCGACGAATTTGAATGAAAGAAACGATTATTTTAGTTTTAATGAACTTATTTATCGAAACACTGCCAAAATAATGAAATCGAATATATGTTTTGGTTCGAATGCCCATAAGAGAACATGCGTTGTAAAACGAAATTGCATTGGCCTCGTGTTAAATGGAACGATTTTTGTTTTAATTGGCCAGGAAAACCTATGTTTGCGTTATTTTACTTGAAACGGTCATGTGTAGTGGCGAGGTCGGGGGCGGGGGGGGGGCTGATATCAAACCGCAAAATCATCAACCCGGCCGTGGAAATTCAAAACGTGTGGGGGTGGGGGAGAAGAGGAGGGGGGCTGGGCTGGACACCACATGACACTTAGTGGAGCTATTTATGATAAAAATGTACATGTAATGCAAATTTGCAAGCCCACGTCCGATAACCATACACAAACAACGGTGCGCTGAAAGCTTCTGTACTGTTCTTTGCCTTTTAAAACTATTTCATAAGTGGGGTCAAATGGGATATTTGGTAAATTACAATATAACAACATCATTATAGTTTCATTTCTCACGAAAATCTATGGGGATGGGGTGATTCCATGCCTTATCCCCTGGTTCAAAAATGGGGGGGGGGTGTATCCTCCACATCGCCCATCCGAGATTTACGCCCATGGTTACGTGGTAAATATTAAAAGAGCATGAAGCTTTCTAACTTTGTATAAAGAATTCGTAAAATATCAATTGATATTGTGGATAATTGTGATTGTGGTGATAGTATTGCATATAGATTCAATGTATTTGATGTATAATATCATGATATATCAATTACCAATATTAACCTTAAAAGAGCTGGATGGATTTCGTCACCTATTCTAATAGCATTACCTCACACGTATTCAGTATCAAACCATAATTGGTTGTTTTGCTCGTGGCCTACCGTACGTTTTAGCACCATTTTGTTCTCCGAATTTTCAAATAATCTTGCCTAGTGCCATATTTCGACCCTGCTTGGGTATTAAAGCAAAAAGATCAAGCTTTTTTTGACCGTGCTTTGGAAAAAAAGTCCCTCACCATAGACGAAAACACATTTAAATTATTTACAGAACTAAGGTTCGATTGAACTAGAACATGGCAGACGTTCTAAATAAAGATAACTTTAAAAAAAAAATGTAACCGTTATTTTCTAAGAAAATCTTCAATTTCCGAAATCTAAAATGTGAGAGGGAATCTTCACTCCGACGTCTAAGAACGGATGGCTTTTTTATGGTTAAATTTGCGTATGGCTTTATCAGTATCAGAATATATTAATTATATAAATTTAATTAATTAATATGATATCAATTTATTGTTGTTCACATTGCAGCGTAGTTTTAATTCGACTTCGTTTTGAAATTTTTACACTTACTGTGAATTATCGTACGGTATTGATTTAGGAGGAAATTGTTGATATGTGATGTAAAAGAAAGTATGTAAGCGGCCTGAAAAAAAACTATATTGTTGTCAACTGTTCACCTTTGTGTGATCTTTGACTGAAAAAAAAGGTATTGATGAAATCGATGAGCAGTTGACCGGTTAGAGGCCTGATCGCCTAATATACAACTCGCCTTTGGTTCGGTCCATATACGGCGTTAAGGCCCTGTTGAACCACTGCTCCATCACACTTTGGTTTGCGATTCGAAATTACACAGCTGCGGGACAAGAAACCGGCGTTTTGAAACATCGCTCATTGTAAATACGTATATCTTAATTATTCAGTTTAATCGAGCGCATTGTTGTAGATTCTATTGTGAGCATTGATCATCAACCCTGTCAGAACCGGGCTATTTGGATTATTTATACATGGTGATTTATATATTTCTGGGCAAATTCTCTGAACGATATCTTGTGGGGTATCGGTATTCTATGCAAGGCTATCCAGGTGTCACCATGTGGCGCCTTTTTTTCGTAACCCCAACCAAAGGATCACTTCTATCCAAGTTACATCAATATCCATCAAAAATGTTGAGGCGAAGAAAAGTTCAGGTGAATAAGTAAAGTGACCTCTAATGACCCCTACATAACCAGTTTGTTCTCCACATTTCGAAGAAAAACTCCTACTCAAGGGTCACTGCATCTAAGTTTCAACAAATTTAATCATAGCATGCCTCCAAAAAACACTCTTGTGAATTACATCCTTGTTGACCTCGGTTTACCTTTTTGGCCAATGGCCTTTGACCTGAAATTGTCCAAACTTGATCTTTGCAACGCATTAAATCCTAGTGTCACTATTTAATGGAATTCGGCGGACTACTTGAGAAATTACTGTAATTAAAATAACAAAATAACCAAAAAACTTAAACATACATTACGGTTATACTGGTGAACGAAGTACTACAAAATGTAGGACTGTATAGGCCTGTCCCCAAAAAATATTTTAGGCGACTCAAAAATGGCATCATTTGATTGCGCTGCAGATACTACAAAAGTTGGTAGGCCCAATTTTGGTCAAAGATATTTTTTTATGTTTTCATTCAAATGTTTTCAAATTTTGCAAAAGTAATGCATGTACTTGCGTCATTAATGCATCTATTCA